TATATATATATATATATATATATATATATATATATATATAATTTTCATATACTTACTGTATATAATCTTCATATATTTTCTTCTAAATTCGTCGACATATTTTAAGAAATTTTATTTTTCCAAATATCTGACGGTTTCAGCGTCCATTCTTTTATAGCATCAACGTCTTTACAAATTAGTATAGGTGAAAAAGGAAACGTCGCAGCAAGTAATAATGAACTATCGCGTCAATAGTATCACACGTCTAGAGAGAATTACCAAACTATCTAAATGTCTACAACTAAATGTCTCGGTATTGACTACCAGATGCGTCGAAGCATCGTAATCAGAATATTGGATATGTGAATCAGATATCGCATACAAATTCACCATATTATTGTCATAAGACGAGTATAGTGTCATTCACCAAGCTATTTCTCTCAATGCATTTTGATTTTTTTATTATTATATTGTTTTATTGTTATATTTTTGCATAATTTTGCCAAAAATAAATAAATTGATGTGCTTTCAAGATTTTTAATACACAAAAAAGTTTTTGCATGATTGAATAAAAAAAGTAAATTTAAAATAAAAGTTATCGTGCGATGTGGAACGAAATTTCCGTCGTGAACTCGTTCTATCAGATTTATTATGGAACTAAAAAAACAAAAAGAATAATTTTCATTGGCCACATCAAAGAACTTCGCGGTTCGTCGCATTTCCCCGCGGTCTCATTCGTTCGATTTTATTACGTTATTTCATTTTCGCCTGCCATTCGTCGAACTGTCGACGATAATAGCGTCGCGATTGCGGTCCTCAAATTGCGTCCGCCGACGCCGCGGCATCGGCGCGCTAATTATCTCGCGCAAATGATCGCGACCGTTCGCGTTCGCGTATTACACACACACACACACACACACACACCCTGTGCCGAGGGAACGGGCTTCGCATACAGAATCGCCGACGGACACTAAAGCGATATGTCGCTTTTCGTATGTTACAGGCCTCCATGGATCTGCCACCGGACAAGGCGAAGCTTTTGAAGCAGTACGACAACGAGAAGAAATGGGACATCATCTGCGATCAAGTGAGTACCGTCATGCATCTGAGAAGTAGTCTGATGCATCATTAGATGCAGAATACTTGGCGAGAACTTTTGCAGCCAGACATAACATGCGTAATAGCGAATTTTATGAACTTTCACATTCTCTCTCACAGATAAATTGTGCGAGACCAATTTATTGAATATCACCTTCTCTCGCAAATAAAATCGTGAAATTCATAAAATTTCACTCCCTTTCGCAAAGTAAAATCGCGAGGGAGAAATAGTATCTACACCAGAAGAAAAAATGTCTAAAAGATCAGAAACATTCACGATGGATGCTAATAATATATTTACTTGTACTAATATAAGGTAACTACACTGAGAAAAAAATATCTAAAAATTAAAAAATATTTATTAGGTAGATACCTAACATATTCATTTCAAATCAAAATTCTCTTCACACACACAACACACTTAAACCGAGTATTGTTTACTCGGTTTACGTAACCAGTAATATGAACAATTATTCTATACATTCTTACCTTGAAAAAGAAATTTTAAATGAGAAAGTATATATTCTCCTAAAATCATTTCTTTGCGCATATGTAAACAATTTATTTTATCTAAACTACTCTAAAACATCTGAGACATAAAAAAATATTTACTCGGTGAGTATTGATAACGTATCTAGGTACTTAAATCTGTATTTTTTTTAGAGTAGTTTAGATAAAATAAATTGTTTACATATGCGCAAAGAAATGATTTTAGGAGAATATATACTTTCTCATTTAAAATTTCTTTTTCAAGGTAAGAATGTATAGAATAATTGTTCATATTACTGGTTACGTAAACCGAGTAAACAATACTCGGTTTAAGTGTGTTGTGTGTGTGAAGAGAATTTTGATTTGAAATGAATATGTTAGGTATCTACCTAATAAATATTTTTTAATTTTTAGATATTTTTTTCTCAGTGTAGTTACCTTATATTAGTACAAGTAAATATATTATTAGCATCCATCGTGAATGTTTCTGATCTTTTAGACATTTTTTCTTCTGGTGTAGATACTATTTCTCCCTCGCGATTTTACTTTGCGAAAGGGAGTGAAATTTTATGAATTTCACGATTTTATTTGCGAGAGAAGGTGATATTCA